CGCATATAATTAATGGGGGGAATGTACGGAGAATAAAATGAAGAGTTTTTGCTGAGAAAACGATTATGAAAGGGGGATATAGAGCGAAAGCACTGCAAATTTTATGTTAGAGATTATTTGTATCGCTGCGGCTTGTATGTTTGAGCTAAAATTTAAGCTTTTATGAGGTATACTTGATTTTATGAAAACACCAACTCCTTGTTTGGAATATGATTTTTGATCAGCATTCGTGAAGTATCCAGTTTACGATTTGGGTGGAATAGGATTAAAAGAGCTTCTACAATGGGTTTTTTGAAGGGATATAAAGGTGGGATTAAAATCATTTATGAGTGTACGGAGTTCATCAAAATTATTAATAAGTCCTTTAATGTTCCATTGTGGAATTTTAAAAACTTTATTAAAATGGCTGTTATTGAGCTTTTGGTCTGACCGTGGCCATTTTAACATACACTGTTTGTTTGATTCTTGTTAAAATACGCATCATGTTTTAAATCGCTATGTGTTACTGTGTAAAAATTGCCTTAAATTAAAACAAGTAAAGTAAAGTAAAAACAAGTCAAACCATTGCTTATACATTGTTAAATACCGTACGTCACTTCAGTTAATACAGTTATTCATATAACCACTTTCAAAATAGGTTATGATATGGGAAATGGTCGAAAAAATGGTCCGATCGGAACAATCGTCCTTAGACGAAAACAAATCGATCTCCCAAATTTCTTCGAAACATCGCAAAAATCGCGAAAACGAGGCTTACAGTGATTCTCAATCGATCAGTATAAAGGCGAGTCTATCCCAAGCCGCTTTGGATGTTGCATACATCCGCACAACGTTAATAAATTGTTGTGCCACAAGTGTGGGCAAATCTTCAGTACTTCATACATTAAATGAGTACATAAATTTTTGTCACACTACATTTCATTTGTGGGTAGTTAAAATGTGACCGGAGAGACAAGAAAAAATACTTATGCCGGTTTTTTAGCTATTCGAAAGGGATCACAACCATTCTTAAGCTTGAACGTTAGGCGAAATTTTAGCTTTCCCTCTTACATTTTCTGGGAAGGCGGACCGAACTCGTTAAATTTATTCAAATGAAACATTTCAATCAATTGTCATTTAATCATTTCCATGGTTAGCCATTGATCTCTAAAACTATTGACTTATTCCCTTCTTGACATGTTCCGGTATAAATATCATATTCGTTTTCCTTATAAAAATTGCTTGGTAGGATTAGTAGGAGGAGATCTTCGTTAAATATTTATAAAAATTTTAGAAACTTTAGAACGTACTACACTGTATAGGTAGTCAATAGTGTAACAGCTTTTTACTTCTGACACCCTTTAATTTGATACTCTTGGTTATTGATAACCAAATACTTTCTATACCTGCATTTCAAGAACAACGCGAAATGTTAAAAACAAAACAAAGTATTATACTTAAGTATTTCGATTGTAAAATAAATAGACTTAGATCACTTCAGTGTTCTCGTGTCAATTTTCTATTCTAGGATTAATATATAAATACTGTTAATGTTGGCAAAAGAATACGATTATAGCGGTGTATATGTGTATTGGCGTGATCGTATGACGATGATGTGTTAGCAGTTATTCGTATTCGAAAGAATGTGATTTTGAGCATTGTTACTATTTTCCATTTTCAACTTACTTACATAATGAAAAGTTTCAAAATTTAATATGAATATAGATTTATCGGATTCCCTTCTTTACGTACATATACGAAAACTGTTAAAGATCACTTTCATATTTATAGTTAAGGGGAAAAAAAGTTTCCATAACATTTTAGTAAAGATTATGGAGCCAATTATGGGCCCAAACATTTCATTTAAACTAATTTATTGTTCTTGAGATCTCAGCAGTTTCATATCTTGCCTTATGATAAAATAATTCTTCAAATGTTATGCCCATTACATATACAGAATAGGAAATAGGTTTGCCAAATATGAATGGCGTGTTTTGGGGCAAGAACAGGATGGTTCAATGTTGGTAAGAGAACTCGGTCTACCTTTCACATTAAAACTGCGCTCGCTTCAGGAAGGTTCATTTGACAGCAAAACTGGTGACTATGTATATCGCCAATAAGCGTAATTTTATGGAGGTTTCAGTTTCCACTTGCAACTCCATAAACAGCCTTTTATTAAAGTTATGTTTACTGAAGCGAGATGTGTTGTGGATACTTGAAAATTATTGTAGGAATAATATCGTCATTTAAACCTCAAAATTTTTTTTTTTCCAGAAACGGCACACTTGCATAAATTATGATCAAAATAGAATCCAAAAAGAGCGCACTTGAAGTGTATGAAAAGTCGACCCTGCCCGAAGAAGAAAACGACTTTTTGCTTAATTTAGCAAATTAAAAAGCCTTATTATTATTAGTATACTAAATTTTAGCGTTTATTCGTCTTTTCGATTCTTTTTATTTTCTTTTTTTTATTTTAAATAATATTTAAGAAATATATTATTCGGAATGTTTAGAGTTAGATTTTCTAATTGCTTTGATTGTAAGTAAATAAAATATATGTTTTTCAATTTTTAATAAACAATAATTAAGCACTTATCAGTTTGAAAGTTGGTGAATAATTAAGGGGAAAAAGTTAGTTTTTCTTTAATTTTTGTTAACTACTACGAGGTAGTTACGGAAAGATATACAATGAATAGTGCACTATCGGACTTGACTTTATTTATAATTAAAAAAAAATCTACATCTAAATCGATCCAAATCCCCATCCCGCGCTACAGTAACCAAAACCATTTCGCTGAGTAATAAATGTTTCTTCATCATCCTTTTTTTTTGGGATAGGCAGACAAGAAAAATTAAAGTTCATTTACTTTGCTGTAACTAAAAAGGTATATATAATAATAAGTATGCGTTAAAGCTCGTTACCTTCGTGCTTATACAGTTGACATTGACATAAGATACGTTTCGCTTTTGACTTTTTAAAATTTCGAATGTGTAGATCGATAGATAATCCCAATTATCAATGCTTACATTAAGTAAAGGATTTTTGCTTTTGAAATATATGGTGTTGTGAAGTTGAAAAATCTTATTAAAGTTCCACATGTTTCCCATGCTTATTAATTACTTTAAGTTTTTCCTGTTTTGGCGCCACATTATCAGCCGGAATATTCTCCTTTATGGGGGCAGGTTCTTTCGGTATTCGAGTTCCCTCCATGGATGGACTTTTTACAGTTTTAGTTGTGCTCGGCTTCTCTGTAGTGCTCGATTTTAATGACGTCCTTGTCGTCGTCGTGCTTGCAGAAGGGACGACGGTTGTCTTTGCTGAGATAACGGGCTTCGGTGTTGTCGGAGTAGATCTGGCATGAGTGACTGTAGGTTTAGTAACGACTGGTGGCGCTGTTGTCGTCTTTTCCATTCGTGGTTTCAAAGAAGGTTCAATTTCCATGCCTTCATATCGCACATTATTTATCCGGGCTTGTAGCATTGGCTTTTTGGGCACTGGCGATTTAACACGAACGAGGAAACGATTAAACGGCGACCCCAAATATAAATAATCATTAAATTCTAACACATGACAGGCCGCTCCAACACTTTTATCAAAACAATGCAAAGATCCCACTATATTGCCATCCCAATCTAGACGAACAATTGTAGAACGTTTCGGAATCATAAAAGAGACACTTTCGCAGTGGCCAATAAAGTGCACAAAACGTTGCGAAAATTTGTTCGGGTAAATATTATTGAATGCACGAAATGGCGCCTCGAACAAATATAAAATACGAGCCAAAAATAAACGCAAATTAGAGAATTCCGAGAAGATGGCAAAAAGACTAGCATTCTGGCTGTCCACAGAGAAAATTAACGGGACCCAAATTCCATCTTCGTTTGGCGTTAAATTGTCGGGCAATCCAGACAAACTTTCGACAAAGACCTCGCCCTTACCAGCACTGCTGCCTTTAAGATGGTATTTCATTTTCCTATAGAAGAAACGTTATCAAGGGTAAATTTAAATAAAGAACACAAAAATCAACATACTTCCATATTTAATTTATTAATCGGATGAGAATTATCGTTCCTGTAGCTACCTAAACAGGCAACTACTGGTAAATTGCTTCAACCATTGTGCTGTAGGATCGTATAACGTCGAAGGCACTTCTAAACCCGACTGATTAGCTAAACGCCTTATATTCTCGGTTATTGTTTCTAGCGGGTGCATGCAGTGATCACAGGCGGCGTAACCGTAATAAGTCCCATTTTATTAATAACAACAGATGTTCCTTACTCCCTTACTTACAGCAACCACCGAGCAAATAACAAACTGGAAAAAACTATAAGAAATTGGACCGAAACGAAATAAAAATGCCACGCGTTCTTCTCCTTGCATATTGCTAATAGCGTAAAATATAATTGTAAAAATTATTATGAACATTGTTGCAGTTTTAGGTTTAATAAATAAATTGTAAATAGAAAAAAGTGATATTAACCATTACAAAGACCAGTTTTGTGCAAGGCCGTTTCGAAATTGTTTAAAAATCAGAGATCGGCCCAGAGGTCGGCATGGCGAATTCAAAAGAAAACATATGAAATTGTTTACAAATCAAAGGGTGGTGTACAAAAAATTAAACCATTCTGCCCAAATTATACACTTTTATTAATGCCTCAAAATCAAACTTTTCAACGATTTCTATTAAGAAATCAAATTTTTGCAACATATTCTTCGCAGTGAGCTTTTACATACGGAGTGGTCGCAAAATATCTCAGAATTTCGATGTGAGGATGCAAATATTGGACGTATTGGAAGAATACGTCGACATATTTAGAAAACAATTCTGAATCGATTGGATAAAAGGTCGTTTTCAAATTTGTTTGTATCTTTGAAAGGAGAAGAAGTCACTAACGTAAGACTATATAAATTTTAGAGAGTAAATAAAGTAGAGAACTGGCAGAGAAAGCTTTTGGATCAAAAGAATAAATTTTGCATTAAGGTACCTTCGTTTTTTTTATTATGAACCTACTTTCATTGATATTCTCTGATTCGTGCATTTCGTGTGTTACTACTTCCAAATGAAAGTTTCCCGGAGAAAATGTTTAGGTTATTTTTTTCCTAGAACTTTTGTTACGGCTGCCACAACGTCAACTGCTTCAGGAATTGCGGCTGATTCCAATATTATAGCATAAGGCGTAGGCACATCAACTCCACATTCGCGCCACACCGGTGCATCTAGGTGAAAAAATGTTTCGTCCTCCATAACGCGTGCGCAGATTTCAGCACCAATTCCTAGTGAAAGATTTGAAGTCACTTTCTTTTTTCTTAAAGTGACGAAATTAATTTCCCATTTTGGGGCCAGCCCTATTCTACAGTTACTAAATGATGTGTTTTCTTCACTGAGTTAAAAATCGTTTCTGTGTCCAAAGGACGCAATGAACGTAAATTAATAACTTCGACTTCAATACCTGCCGAAAATGGATACAAATATTAGTTCTATTCTTAAAAATACCTTATAGTTTACCTTTCTTGGCCAATTCTGCAGCCCCTAATAGACAGGTCTTCACTGCTTTAGAATGACCAACCACCGTCACATGTTTTCCAGGTTTTATTATTTTTGCTTTGCCTATTGGGATTAGGAAGTCTTTATCCATGATCGCAGGATTAACTGGAAAAGGAACACCGTACAAAACCTCGTTTTCTAAAACCACAACTGGATCAGGATCACGTATAGCTGATTTTAATAAACCTCTGCAGTCTTCAATATCGTAGGGTGATACAACCTTAAGGCCGGGAACGTGGAAATACCAAGCCGCAAAACATTGAGAATGTTTAGATGCCACGCCCATAGCAGCCCCGTTGCGTCCGCGGAATACAATTGGGACATTGATCTGCCCCGCTGACATGTAGAATGTTTTAGCCGCTGAATTTATAACCTTGCATCAAATTGTTTAAAGATATAAAAATTCGTAAAGTATTTAGAGATCTCAATTACAACACCGAAAAATACCAACAAATTCATTCAATTATTGGTACGAGTTTTATTTATGATTTTTCAAACTAAAAACGGAATTAATAAAATTTTTTTAAAAGTAAATTGCGTGTTATTTTCTGCTTATCTACTTTAGGCCAAACTTTTCTTTAACTATAAACGCAGGCAATCGGCGTCCCTTCCAGTATCGTTGCAAAGGTGTTTCATTGGCTTTTTGCAGTTTTTCCTCTACAAACTTAGAAGCATTAAAAACTTCTGCTTCCTTTATTTGAGTTATAAGCGTAGCTTGGAATGACTTTTCTTTGCGCATTTCACGACGCTGACGCACTTTGGCCCATTCAAATTTCATTTTACGTCGCAGTTTCCTTAATTTGTGTTTTTTCATCTTACGACGTCTTATCACAATCATGCGCGCTGCTTCCACTTTGTCTTTCCTATTTAAGGTAGGTGCGTACTTTTGATTGCCCTCTTTCAGCATATCATTTAATTCATTCAGACAATTTGTTTTGAATGGATCAACTATCTGAGGGTTGTTGTTTAATTTCTCTATAGGTATATTGCGGGCGTATTCAGCATAGACTGGCGTACTGACTTTGGTACATTTTATGCGACCAGTTTGTAAATGTATTGCGTTTATGGTGCTTAACGTGCAGCAGCGTAGCGATGCCTGTTTATGTAGCAAGCGGATAATATGGGTCAATTATATTTTTTAAAAATATTAAAAAATGGGACAAAACATCTGTAAGAGAGGATGCAATTAATGATTATCTTTGCTTTCTTTAATAAAATTTTTAACCCATAAGTAATATCGCAGAACCATGTCCTTGATTTTGTACAAAAATTTGTTGGTGTTTTTCGGGGTTGGCATTTTCATTTGTTAAGAAATGTTTATTGTGTATATAAATGTTCTTTTCTTTTATGAGATAATATGAGTTAAAAAAATACTTGGAGAACCTTTCTGAAATCAATATTTGTGTAGACGTTAGCCTTTGTTCAATGGCCTTTCTATATTTATATGAGTTTAAATGCCGTAACATCATCTCAGGCAGTAAATTCTAATTAAACTGTACTGGCTGGGTTGATAAAAACAGTTACGCTTTTTTTTCGTTATATCCCCTAAAAATTAAATAGATTTCTATGTACATAGTAAAACGACAATGAAATTATGCCTTTTTAGTAACACTTCTGAATAATGCAATTGACATACTCTTCATATATCTTGTGCAATAGTCATATTTTTAAGATAGAGACTATTCTCTAATTGCCTGCATATGGGAGAGCAAAAGTAGAAGAAGCGGATTGAAGAAAAAATCATTGAACCGTTATTTAGTTTCCTGCATTTTTAAAACGGCACAATACATGCAAAACAAATGAGAATGAATATACGCTTATTTTATAAAGCGGCACAATACATGCAAGTTGTTTTTTGTTTTTATTGTTAGACATGAATGTTGCAGAAAAGACTCCGTTCATGCACCAGATTTCCGGTATAGAAGAGATTTATGACAATTTGTTGGATACAAGAGATTAATAAATTTAACATAAAAAACTAATATGAAAGAAAACAATTATATTATTTTCATTTCATTTTCATATTTGCAACATCGCTAAGATATCTGCTTTAACATAACTTAACCCTTACAAGATGGTTCTATTAAGGCTAATATTGACGTTGATCGGCAGAAAACTTGGCTTTAATCTCATTTTGATTTAGGCCGTATGCATTATAAAAACACTCATCAGAGTTATCCTTTCTGCACTTTTGTAGAACGTTTTTGATAAAATATATGTGACGGCGAGAGAGATGTATTCTTTACCAATATATAGCTTTTTGATGATGTTGTTTGTGTTGCTCGTAATACGATTTAGATGCAAACAATTTATTACATATTTCATAGCAATATTTGATTGAAATCGCATTATCATAATGAGTTCTGAAAAGATATATATAACAGATATTTTAACAATTACATGGCTCGCGAGAATTCTACGAAGTTCTTATATTCAAGAAAATACTCAAGAAAGAAATTTTTGTAACACCTCACAAGGTCGGACAGTTATCTGACGGACAGACAGGCTTAGACCAATTCAGATTATGATTTTGAATCGATCCGTATAATAAAACCTGGGCCTATCTTAAGCCCTTCTGCATATTGTATACGTCTGCACTAAGTTAAAACTAAACGTTTTGTTGCTATAGCTTTGTGTAAACGCACATACAGCCGTACTTATTGCATTGCTACAATTTCAAAAATAATGCGTCAACACGTCCTCACTGCATAAGAACTCATGCGAGACTGAGTAGAAAACTAAACGTTGTTTTGATGCATCTCTGTGAAAATGCACATACAACCTTAATTTAATCTCACATCGATGGCTTTTTTACAAAACCTGTTGAATGTTTGAGAACGAATACGCGTTTATTCTCTAAAGTCACGCAATACATGCAAAATTCTTGATAATTGTACACGCTTATTTTCTAAAGTCTCACAATACATGTAAAGAAATTTATTCAAACATTCTCAATTGTATGGAATTTGTATTTTCTCAGATGGTTGGAATTTGTATACGGAAATTCTGGTGTCGTAGTCTCGGTCTAAAGTTAAATTTCGCATTTAAGGAAAGCACATACTTTTTACGACACAGCATTGGACCAGCTGCTGACAATTTGCTGGTGCTGGGATATTCGTTGTTTCTTTCTTCCGAAACAAGCGAACTTCCCGGATTCTTGCCAACATTATCTTGATGTATTTTAAAGGTAACTTTATTTTCCATTCCTTCTATTCCATTTTCAATAAAAGCTTCATTTACTCGTGTAGAATGCTTAAATGTTTTTTTGCCTTTTTCGCACATCGCTTGAAAGCCTGTGTTGTTGGCGGGCTTCAACTGCAATAGGAAATTGTCACGGATGCCTGCGGGTAATGGTGGTAATTGATCAACGACGCCGTGGATGGCGGAAGCGAGCGCAATTTTTAACCTTTTTGAACGCATATCGTTGATCAATTTGTGAGGCCTGACTGCTTGGGCCCTTCGGGGAGTACTCGTGGTGGTTATGGTTGGCAAGTTCCTAGCCAAAGTGGAACAGTTTGAGTGCAGCTAGACCTTACCACTGACCAGATTGGGGTTTATTGTTCCATACACAATAAACCGTTCTAGACTCTGGTGTTGTTTAGGCCCCTACTCTGTGGGGATTGTCTAACTCGCCAGGAGGCGTAGTACGCTTAAAGTGGCTTGGGCCACCGTTAGGTTAAGCCTTTCAGAAAGGAACCCACGTTAAATCCTTGCTACAAATTCTGCAATAGGAAATTTTTTCTCTCAAATAGCCCTCAAAAATACATAAAGGAAATAGGCCAACTTTTTTATACAAATACTTGAACAATCATAAAATCTAATTTTCTTATTCTACAAACATTTGGTTTATTCGCTATACTTAGAGCTTTCCCGCTGCTTTTGGGCTTCTTCGCTTTTTTTGAATGTGGTATTCACCACGTCGTTCAAAACCCGTTCGAGGGATAATAGGGAAATCCTAAAAACATTTCAGATAATTTCAAAAAGAATTTTTGTTTTTTATATTAAAGCGTCAAACCTTCACATCGAAGTATGCATCATTATCGCTGCAGTTGCTTTTCCTCTTCTATCATCAGTGTTTTGGAAAATAAGCGAACTTAACTTACTTAATTTTACAAGTTAGCCTAAAATTAGACCGCCATAATTTTTAAACAAAGCCTTTGTCAAATTCCCTGTTAAAAGGCAAAGCACAGAGTTGCTTGTAATAAATACAAAAAAAGGTCAAAAAATAGCAACTCTGTTAAATGGTTAAATGCCCAACTAACAAATTAAATGGTAACGCCATTCAGCTGTTATATAGCCATTTACAAAGGGACACATCCGTTAAAATGGAAATGTGGTTGAGTACTTTTTATCTCATACCTGTCAATATTATTAACATTATCAGGCCCTTTGACACATTTGCTTTACCTTCTTTCTTAGATTTTGAAATAATTCTTCAACTCCGGTCATTATCTCGTATATATATATATATATTGCACGGTCTAATTGAAGTGTCAAATCTACTCACTTACGATATTTGCTGGCATTTATTTTTCAAACTTTTTTAGTGCAACTCTGTGTGCTGTAACAATATTATTAAAAAAAATTAGCAAAACGGTATAATTTCCCAGATATTTTAGAAAATTCTCATTAAATATTCGAATTTCTTTTTATTCAAGTGGTCCTATCAGGAAAAAAATGTCCACATTTGCAAATACAGATCTGCCTGGCACTTCAAAAGATAATTTTGATGATTTTTACATCGAAGTAAGTGAACCCACACCATGAAAAACGAATGTGTGGTAAATTTGCATTGGTTGGTAGAGGGGCTAAAAAAAAAAAAGAAAAGCCTCTAATCCTCCTACAAAGTCATGTGCCACATTATAGCTAGTATTGACATGTTTATATTTAATATGTTTTGACCTATATTCACAGGTTAAAGAGATAGAAAAACGCGATTCTGTTTTAACACCTATTCAACAAATTGATCGTTTACTTCGTCCAGGTTCCACATACTTCAATCTCAACCCATTCGAGGTTTTACAAATCGAACCGGAGGCTACTATCGAACAAATCAAAAAACGTTACAGACAGCTCTCCATATTGGTGCATCCAGACAAAAATCAAGACAACAAGGAACGGGCTCAAAAGGCTTTCGACATTGTAAATCGGGCATGGAAAACTTTAGAAAATGAAACCGCACGAAAAAAGTGTTTAGACGTGTATGAAGAAGCAAAGGAAAGGACGGACTATATGGTAACTAAAATATCATTAAAAATTTTAATTCCAGTTTCCCTGAAACGAATTTACATCCTTTCAGATAACCGAGAAGCGTAAAAAACTCAAAAAAGAGAATAAATCCTTCGAAAAAATACCCGAAGATGATCCAGCGAAATACAAACACGCAATATACGTTATGGCTATGAAATTGTTTGCCGACATGGAACGCAGACGCCAACAATTAGACCAACGCGATCAAGAGGAAAGGAAAAGAAAACGTGAAGCCGAAATCGAAGAAGAAGAAAAACGCAAAGCTGAAAAGGAATGGCAAAAGAATTTCGAGGAATCGCGCCAAAGTCGTGTAAACAGTTGGCATGACTTTCAAGCTGGGAAAACGACAAAATCGAAAAAACAAAAACGTATGCACGGCATGATGGTTCCACCAAAATTTAAACCTGAATCACGGTGAATATTTTGTGTAAGATCGCGTAACATTTCTTCACATACGTATGTGTGTGCATACTCCATTTCTTTTACACAAATATAGTTTTTAATTTCGATGAGTATTTCTTTTCTCTATTACATTTAAGACTCATTTTTTGGAACCTCCGACATTTTATGTATTGTTCGCGCATGTAATTAACTTTTATATAATTAAATTTAACTAATTGAGAAGAAGTGACTTTTTTTACGATGTGCTCTTCGAACAAAGTCGAGTTTTCTAAGTGAACTAATGTAATAATTCTTTTAAAGGAAAGTATTATAGGAAAAAATGTAAAAAAAAGAACTCATTTTACCGTATAGTCTGAGATTTATCTCAAACCCTACTTGTAATTCATAATCCCTTTTTATATATATAAAAAAAAATTATTGAAAAAATTCATAATGAAATTAAAACGTAGTATATAAACTGGCAGTGAAGACGATGTCCCGTTTAATAGCATTGGAAGCTTCCTCCATTTTACTTTGCAACGTTGGATTACCTATGCGTATTGCAGCGGTCTTAACGTCATGCAAAGTTTCATCTAACTGTTGTATGCAACGTACAATAATGCCTTCTTGAACTTCGGTTAATTTCATAATTTCAGCAAAAGGCTTAATAATCATAATACATGTATGCAATAATGAGTCAGTGTAAAATGTAAGAAGTTTACCTTATTGCAAGCCCATTCGTAGACTACTTCTAACAACCCGAAGTTTAATCTTTCTTCAGTCTCAGTAATAGCACGATGTTTCATTTCTTGCTCTACGATGTTATCATTAATCTTTTCAAATTCGCTTACATACTAAGAATACAAACCGTTTTTATCTGTCATAGATACAGATATTTGCAATTTGATTGATTACCTGAATAAATTTTTCAGGCACGGTAGACTCACCAGCAATTTTTGCTCGAAATACTAATCCTGAAAGTAAGGCGGCTATCTCTGCCGGTTCCAAATCATTGAACATATTACAAAGTATTAATTCAGTAATAAATAATTCATTCCGACCCATTTCACAAGCCACTTTGCCCTTCAGTGTCACTATTCAAAATTGGTAAAACGAACAAGACAACAAGAAATTTTAAAGTACTTAATAGGAATGGAATAGATGTACTTCACTTCTCTTTTTTCCGCTGCCAATGAAATACTAACCTTCATCTAATTCGTCAATGTATCGTAGAGCTCTCAAAACTTCAAGTTTATTGCAATAGTCGGGATACAAGGAGAGATTCTTGATAGAATTTTTAAATTTTAATTCCTCGATACGATGCTCCAAAACTTTACGATCGTGAACAATTGCAAATTCCTCTTCGAATCCGGCTATATTAGTATACGGTAATATCTCTTGCAATGTCTTCTGCAAATGATCCAAATAACATAACTGAACCATCTCGTTATCTGAATTAATATTTATTTCCTTTGCCATGTTCAAGAATTTCAATGACTCGGGATTATTCACATAGCCATCGTTGAGTTTCGACAGCTCGGAAACTGCTTTTAAGACAGTCGCTCCAGGCGGCGAATTTCGAAAACGCTCAATTTGCCTTTGCTCCCAATTACGTATAATAACATCAGCATCGATTTTCAAAGAAGCTTTTGTAATTTCCACAAAATCTCCGGCTTTAACATCGAGTATTGCATGCCCACCGATTCCTTCCGGTTGGAAGAATTTATGTTGCGGTGTCAACGAAATCAATTTGTAATACATTTCACCGCGATGAATATCATCCTTTAACCCATTAATTGGAATTCGAGAAAACTTTCAAATTTATATAAAATCTTCAAAAAACAAAAGGCAAATCTCACCTTGCCTTCGCTGGCTTTAAATTGATGATCTAAAACGAGAACGCGATAGCTGGTCTCTTTGCCTATTGTATTTTTAATATATAAGAGGATGCCCAATTTATTATAGTGTTTACTATGCGTCACTATCACGATACGACCGATTTTTAATTCTTTTGCAATTTTTGGTTGAGCAAATAAAGATTTCTGTTTTGGAAATTCACATAATGAATAAATTTTCTAACGTTACCTGTTGCTGATCTTACCATCAATCGTTGCTTCTCCGTTATGTATTCATTACCTAACTCGCAGAATTTGCATAAGGGCTGCAAATGTTCTCCCAATTCAGGCATTTTAGAGAATTTATTTTGTGCTACCTCTAATTGTTTTTGTTGTGCTGGCAATTGTAATTTCTGATTGAATTCCTTGAAGCTAAATTTCATAATGTCCTCGACTTTAATGCTCTCAATACGTAAACATGTCAAAATCACCGCATAACGTAAAATGAATCGTGATTCCAATTTCTCGGGCTTACCCAAAATCATGGCTCTCATCTCGTCTGCGGGTGGGACTTGAACTTTACACAACAATATAACTGTACCGTTTTGATCGTGACCTCTACGACCGGCTCTGCCAGCCATTTGTATATATTCGCCCGGCTTTAGATTTCTCACTTCCGAGCCATCGAATTTCCTATGCGAATCAAATATTACCGTTCTGGCTGGCATATTTACGCCCATAGCGAAAGTCTCAGTCGCGAAAAGCAATTTGACTAAGCCGGCTTGAAAAAGCATTTCTACAATTTCCTTAAGAATGGGCAAGATACCGCTGTGATGAACACCAATACCACGACCCAGAGAATCTTTCATTGTCAAAACTTGAGGTAGCACACGATCAGGTGGTTTCAGCTTAGCTAAGCACTGTTGGAAGAATATTTCCACTGAACCCTTTTCACGGGCCGTATTCAAATCAATCGATTGCAGCATCTAAAGCAACAATATCACGCCTATTACGTTATTGCAATGAATTTGATTAATTTGGACAAATTCTTTCAACAAGAGACGAATATATATAGTAGTAAGTACTAGCTGCCGTAGGTAAAATAAAGTTAAACGATTAACTAAGTGCTTTTAAACTGATGATATATACATGAGATTATTTGAAGACATCAATCCATAATTTCCCTTTATGAAGATCTCTCGACTGGTCCCGGTCACCACTTTATATATTATATATGTTATATATAAGCATAAAAACTTGTATTACTTACCTGGGCATTAATATCGCAACGATTTCTGGATAAGGTGAAAGCTACTACAGGCATTTTATCATTTCGCTTTAGAAAATCCACTAAGCCAATCCAAGTATTTTGTTCTTGCTTGAGAGAAGTGTTCTGTACCATTTTTGAACCACTTCCACACGATTTTGATTTGCTTTGCATTGCCTTCTTCTTCGCCACAGCAATCTCATAATTTTCTTGCAAAAATTTTCCATCAGCATCTACCAGCAATGTTATACTATCCTTGCTTTTACCGCCAGTTCCAGTATATAGGTAGTGCATTAAGGGCACTGGCCTTTTCAGAGTGCTTATAACGTAAACTTTGCGTTTCTTAGTGCTGCCCACCCAGTCGGCTAACTCCATAGTATTCGGCACTGTTGCGCTTAACATTATGATATTAACATGGTCCGGCAATAAAATGAACACTTCTTCCCATACATGACCTCTTTCGCGGTTATTAATATAATGAACCTCGTCGAATATAACGTATTCCAAATCCCTGGTAATATCGCTACCACAATAAAGCATTGAACGTAAAATCTCTGTCGTCATGATCAAACAAGTAGCGGTGGGATCAATTTGCAAATCTCCGGTAATAAGACCTACATCTTTAAAAATTTTCTTAAAATCGCGATACTTTTGGTTAGATAAGGCCTTAATAGGTGACGTATATATGGTACGGGTCAAATCGCGTTGAGATAATGCAATAGCGTATTCGGCCACTACTGTCTTACCGGCGGACGTATGAGCGGCTACAAATACGTATTGACGTTCTTCTAACTTTAGAATGGCCTGCTTTTGGAATGTATCCAATTCAAAGTCGTATTTTTTAGCAGGACAGGGAATCCTCTCATGAAAATCGGCAATATCGTGAGTTACATCTAACATTTCAGCCCATTCTGTTCGCACTATACTCTTCCTCGAAGAAGAAATCTCTAATACTGGCTTCAATTCCGCAGACATAATTTGCTCATCAAGATCCTTGAACTCAGCTGTAAAGTCATTGACGCTATTCACATTTATCCCCAATTCACTGCTTTCATTTTCTTTTTCTGTTAATTTTAGCCATTCCAATACATCCAAGTCTTTCTCCAGATTTTCTAGTAAATTGACGTTATCATTAGGTTGTACATTTTTGAAGAGCTCTTGCTGCTTAAAGCCATGCTGCTTGCTAAAGTCATAACCGTACTTAAAACCTGGCGGCACTGTCAATAATAACTCATCCTCAATTTGGAAGTCTTCCATAGTCAACTTTTTCATTTCTTTTGATGGTTCATCGAAACCGCCTGGCCAAAAAGGGTAATTCATGGCAGAACCTCTAGTTATCTCATCTAAAAGGCCAGGTTCTCTCCTCATGCTAGTCGAATTTTTTGCATTAGCACCTACATTCTCTAAATCTATTTCAACAAAGGAGACAATTCTTCCGGTAATGAAGTCGCGTTTAGGCACCAATTTCGTACTGGCGTTACCTCTTGGCACCGTTAGCAAACGCATTTCATTATATTTCCTTGGTATTACTTCCGGTAATGGGTTATGGATCGATAATTCAGGACATAAGATATAGTTTTGTAATTTCTTTACATCTTCTTCATTAATTAAGGACATCACACAGTCTTTGTTTTTCGAGTTGTTGATTAACGGATTACGTCTGTTGGCGAAATAACGTGATGAAATGTTTCTATTTGTTGATGCTTTGCGCTTTCTATTTTACATATGTATATAAACACTAAAGACTTCTTCCTTCTTATAAAAAAATCGACATGACCCTTTTAATAAAGAAATTCTATCAGCTGTAAGTGACACTTTGAAAGCAAATGAGATTTACGGTATTTTGCATTTGAAAGCAGTATTTTACAGTTTGACTTTTTGTATTTAAACCTCTTACTAAACAATCTCTGAATGAACTAAATTATTAAATTGTATAATTTGTAATGTAAAAATATATTCAATCAATGCATCGCAGTCTATGTCAGATTACTCTTTGCCCACGAAAATCCTAAGAAAATTCGCTGAAACGACGAAAGCAAATTTATCCCATAAATTAGCTGTCAAATTATTCGCATTCTGTTCAGTTCCTTCTGTCTAAAAACTTCATCACTATTTTGTTTAAGCAAAGTTTTAAGAGAGCAAATAACTATATTGCACATAATCTAAAAATTTTATAAAATAAAAATGGCTTTGCAACTAGCGCTACGCAACGCACCCAGAATCAATGGTAAATGAAAAAGCTTTAAATTTATTTACCTTCATAGAACTGGAGATTATATAATAAATACCTTTTATAAAAAAAAAAAAAAACAGCTGCAAATATCTTGAAGACAGGTCGTTTAACTTCGTTGAAGACCTATGCCACCATAGTTGGTGCTCAACGGACTGCTATTGCAAACTCTTTAAATATAGCAAAGAGTGTAAAGGTATGAAAACATATGCTTAACAAAATCTATAATTTATAGAATTTCCTTATCCTCAGCCATTTACACGTACAATTGCACTAAGTTCCCCCCGTTTGTCAGCGGCTGGTGGTAATCACACTACATTATGGACTCTCGAAAGAGTAGTGTCATTAGCTTTATTAGGGGTTATACCTGCCGCTTTCCTAGTGCCCTCGCAAACGCTAGATGCTTTAATGGCCGTATCGTTGGTACTTCACTCTCACTGGTATGCTTTCCATATATGCGTCGTTTTCATACAACCATTATAAACCCTTTTTTTGTAGGGGTATTGAAGCCATGATTACGGATTACGTACGTCCTGCTATTGTTGGCAATGTTTTACCTAAAGTATCTCATGCTTCTCTCTTGTTATTATCCATGGCTACTTTGGGAGGTCTTTTCTATTTAATTTATAACGACATTGGTATCGCCAAGTCTGTTAAGAAATTATGGGCCGTAAAAGCTGCTTAATTTATTTATGAAAAATAAAAGTCTAAATGAGGAGTCTGCCACCAAATAACTATTAAGCTAGAAAGTCTTTATGTTATGTATACACGAATGTAACTTAATAAAAATTTGTCAAATATATATCGTAAATATCCATAAAAAGGGAACTCCTCTAATAATCTAGTCTCTGCAAGTATTCTTTTAGCAAATCTAATGGGGTTTATATTTCAATGTTTATTCAAATCTTAGCGAAGCTGAATTAATTGACTTTGCTGGTGTGATTAGACGGATTAACCTGATGAGATTTAATAAATAGATTCTTTTGGTTCAATAATTCAGATTTGTAAGGGCACAGGACTTCATGCAATGCCTTACATACATTTTTACAAGCAAATGTATCTTTCTTATTTAACCGAAGCGATAACTGTCAATTTTTTTAAAACTTGTCAAAGATTTTATTTCTATTACATCAGAGTAAAATTTTTTCTGAAATCAGTTGAACGGCTTAAAATACAAGAAATACTTCTAATCTTTACTATGCTTTTCAATCATAAAATGTCGTTAACTTTCATTAGGAAGAGCTTTCAAGCCTATAAAGGTACGTATCGTAACATTTTTAGGAAAATTCATAAAATTTACACAATTTTCTTAGGCTGTCGTTTTTTTGGCACTATAAAGAATACCCATTTTTACAATTCAAATTCAATTGCATATCCGAAAGAAAACTACGGACTCCTTAAGCCAGTGAAAAAATTATTACCATTTGCAATTATTAAACGTCATGGATTGGTGAATGTACGTATAAGAGAATATCCGTCTAATCGCCGTTATACCATTATATGGATATTGGAACAAATTGCAAATGTGAGTTTGATTTTCCTTATGCCAACTGCATTTTTGTGTGATAATAAGGAAATTGACTTCGCTATGGGTATTGCGGCTTTATTGCATTCCTATTGGTAAACAAGAACAGTTAGGCGAAGAAAAAAAAACATAATATATATTCACGACATTGTTTTTGCAGCGGAATGCAGTCGGTGATAAGTGATTATATGCGCTCCGCTGTCGTCGGCAAAGCATTACCAATTATTACCAGAGTTCTAGTGGTAATCTTTTCTATTGCGGCACTTTGTGGTTTATATCAACTAGTTTATGACGACATCGGCATTGCGCCCACAATTAAAAAATTCTGGGTAATTACAGGACCGAAAGAGCCAGAGCCTGCTCCACAAGAAGTCGAAAAGGTTCACCCAAAGAAAAGATGGTTTAGACGAAAGAGCGAATAGAACTTAAATTTTAAATTGCTTAGCATCATGAAATTACGCACACATAGCTTAACAAAATAGATTTCTTTTAATACACAATTCATTAATAATTCATTTAGAAAAACAATTCAATAACAATATATTTTACATAAAAAAAAGAAATATATATATATATACATATATGTAAGAGGGATGTTGCTGATGCTCAAAAGGGCACATGACGTTTAAGATTGCTTTCTATTGATATGGTTTTTATAAAATTCTCTTAAAGCTTCCCATTGTTGAGTATGCAGCCATATATGAGGACGGCAAATTCGCATGTGTTCGACCGCTTGTTCAGGAGTCCAGTCGTTCTTCTTCACCAATAAAAAAAATTTGAATAAAAACGTTAAAGATTAAGTCCTCTAAAGTAATAGCAATAGTTAATGAACCCAAAAGTTTTCGACTAAAAATTAAAATCGGGGTCAGAGGATCAGAGTTTTTAAGAAAAAGGGGAATTCTTTGTGCACTGTTAATATTAAAAGTTTTAAATCTTACTTACCAATATTAAATAACAACCCACTAATGTAGCGCTGCGAGTACGTCCCGCCTTACAATGCACGTATACGGTGCCTACATTTTCAGGACTGTCGGTGGTACTTAAGCCTTTAATGCGGTTATCGCGAGGTAAAAATTTGTTAATAAATTCTACGCCTTTATGCAATTTTTCTTGGCACGGCGATTCAAATATGTCAGTGGTAGCCAATTGTAAAAACTCAACTCCCATAAGTTGCCATTTCGTTAAATTATTAGAGAAGACTGTCAGCTCATAATCTTCATTCATCGAAATGACAGCTTTCATGTTTTCTTTTTGAATAAGCTACAATAAAAATGCATTTATAAAATATCAAAAAAAAAAAAAAAAAATCAAAAGGAAAAAGGATTTACTTCATTGGCTTGAGAACGAAATGGTAGTGCTCCTAATATAACATTATCATCGATACGATCGTACCAGTTGCGTCTGGTAATCTTTTCCATTAAGACATTATAAAAAAGTGTTGGATAAAACGAAACCCGAGCAAACATATTGGCCTTTAAAAAGTAAAATAAATAGATATTTTTAAGTCTTGTAAATAAACTCTGCACTCTTTAAAAGCTTAGTTCGATGTAATAGTAAAAGAATTTCAAACTTTCACTTTAGCTCTCAGCTCGACGATCTTGAGCTTCTTTAATTGTTTACTCACGAACTACAACTGTCGACGAGTCAAGCTAAAGTGCTCTTAATACAATATCAGAAATGCAGAGATATTACTTTGCTTAAAATATAACATATGTATAAACTAAAATATAATACAAAATTTAGAAGAATTAAATTTAATTATGCTGCAATTATGTTCCACTTACACCCATCGCCATGCCATAGAAATTAAGTGTCACAGAAATTAAATATAAATGTAATATAAACTCAAATTATAATTTCTATATTCCTTTCTCTAATTTTTCTTTCAGCAATAAGCAGTTAAATTACTTTACTTTTTATATTTATATGAATAAATTTTAAAACTTATTAATCTACATCTGTTTATCACCAAAGCGCATATGGTAGGGATGCCACTCTTATTATTATTATTACACTGCGTTCACAACAACTAAAATATAAGCAAATTTTTCTTTTCGTTATAAAAAGTTCAATATACTTTTATGTTTATTGGCAACACTTTTCAACGTCCACGTCAAAGAGAAGACCTAAATAATCTAAAGAGCAAAAATCAATTTGTTCCGTTTAGCTAAAACATTTATAATAAAAATGGTTAGCTTAATTAATACTGTGCATACCGGTCATGAAGACATGATACACAATGCCATTCTGGATTATTATGGCTTGCATTTGGCCACTTGTTCAAGCGATGGTTCAGTAAAAATTTTCGACATTAGAAACGGCAATCAAACAATTGTTGCTGATCTCAAGGGTCATCAGGGTCCAGTTTGGCAAGTTGCTTGGGCTCACCCGAAATTTGGTAATATCTTAGCATCTTGCTCCTATGACCGTAAAGTTATAGTGTGGAAGGAGAACGGGGCAAATGAATGGGCTAAAATGTATGTATGCTATTAGGTTACAATTCATAAATAGGTATTAATAACTTTTTTTTTCTTTTTTTCAGTTATGAATATGGTAATCATGATTCATCGGTTAATTCCGTAGCTTTCGCACCAGCCGAGTACGGGTTAATATTGGCATGCGGCAGTTCAGATGGTTGTATTTCCATTCTCAATTGCAATAGTACGATGTTTGATGTTTGGGATTGCAAAAAAATTCCCAACGCTCACACTATTGGTTGCAATGCTGTATCTTGGTGCCCTTCCACTGTGCCAGAGCCAGCATTTAATCAACGAAGCTCGACGGCACGTGGCCCCGCTGTAAAACGTTTAGTTAGCGGTGGTTGTGATAATTGCGTCAAAATATGGCACGAAGATAATGACCGCTGGGTGGAGGAACACCGCTTAGAAGCCCACTCAGATTGGGTGCGTGATGTGGCTTGGGCTCCATCCATTGGGTTGCCGCGTTCGCAAATAGCATCCGCTTCCCAAGACCGCCACGTAATAATTTGGAACAGTTCAGATTTAAGCACGTGGACATCGACCATTCTTCATACGTTTGACGATGTGGTGTGGTCAGTTAGTTGGTCAATGACGGGTAATATCTTAGCTGTCGCTGGGGGTGATAATAAGCTCTCTTTATGGAAGGAGAATAATGAAAACCAATGGACATGTATTAATGAGGATGCTTCATCAACGAGCGGCCAACAGCTCGAACAGCGAACATTGTGAATAAACAATAAAACTGAATTTTTCACGAATTTGTTTTTGTAAACATTTAAGGAACTTTATATACATCAATAATATAACGAAAACCTAAGGAGACAAGTGCTGTGTATATTTCTTATTGCTTCTTGTTTCCACGATTCCATATAAACCTTTTTTTTTTATTTAGGTTTAAATAATAAATCGGTTTGTTCTCTATTTATATACGTATGCACATAAACAAGTGTATTGTTTCTGCTGGCAAACAACAAAAAACAGAAATCACCTTAGAAGCAAAGAGATGTCCTTTAAGGACTCTACATTACTTGTTGTTAATGGTTTTTATATTCCGAAACTCAGTTTAGCAGAGCCCACTGTTAAGCTTTAATTATACATTAACACAATTCATGTCCGCGCTAGATAGGGGGCAAAGATGCAGAATGGCAGTTAAAATTGGAATGATAGCCCTTTAATGACAGGTACACAGGCAAATGCCGAAATTAAAAAAAGTAAAGAAAAACATCCAAAAAATTTTTTTTTGTTCGATTTTACTTTACATTAAAATGCGTTGAATGCAAAATGATTTATTTACGATTTCTTTTGCCTTTTACAACGACGGGCCGGTTCTTAATATAACCCTTCCTACGTTTAGCATTCTGCAATTAGAAAAAGATATTTATAATAAAAGCCAATTTATAAGTTATGAAAAAACGTACCTTTCTTGATTGAAAATTTGTAGGTCCTATTGTACGCTCCCGTAATTTTAATGCCGGTCTATTAAATTTTTTTTATTTATTATTAAACTTGGCTATAAATAATATGATGATATAGAAAAAAATTACCTATTGAACTCTTGTGGTTTCTTGACGCGATAAATGCGAACTAACCAATGTTCGGTGGTATACGCCTCCTCCAGATACGTTAAATCGAAATCCTTATTTCCTATAACTCCATTGCGGGTTCGGTCGTAACCTGCCGGCCCTCTGTAAATATTTTTTATGCGAATTATTATATTAACAAAGCTTTCTTCCCTTAAGATTATACATCTATTCGCAGTTCTTTGCAAGAATACATCATTTTACAATGAACATCAATTTTGTTTATTATAAAAACGTTTTGAAAATGTCTTTCAGTGGCCGATAGCTTTCCACCTTCTAAAGCTACTATAGTATTCTTTGTATTCTACACCACACGTGCTACAGGATATATTAAAATAGTGCGGACGTATGCAACACATAGAAGAAGAGAGACCCACCTTTTATTATAACGATCGATTCAGAATAATTTTTAAATCGATCTAAGCCTGTCTGTTCGTCTGATGGCTGTCTATGTAAATTTTCAATCTGCAGGCCACAATTTCTAATAAACTTTGATAAATATTGGTACACAGAAATGCTAATGTCCACGGACGAACGATATTGAAAATGGTTCGGATCGAATCACCTCTTCGGCCGCTCCTCGCATAACGCCCTATTCTGAAAAGTCCTTATATGGGAAGAAATTGCAATTTTCAAAACTTTTTGCCAAGTGGTAGCGGTAGTTGACGTTCCCGATTTGTATGAAAACTGTCTGGGACGATTTTTCAAACCGCCCCTCACATAGCCGTCCCTGAGTAAATTGAATCTTTATTTGGTAAAAACGCAAATTTAAATACCCCTGCATGATGTCTCAATGAATGCTTTGTCTACTTCTAATTAATCATACGTACTCCTAGGACATTCTATCAGAATTTTTGCAAGCAATTATATATAGACGCAGTAGATGTTTACCTATAATCTAATTTTAGTTCTCCAAACCGATAATAACTAAGTTTGTACATTAAGCAGTTGAGTAAGGTTGGAGATCCTTCAGAGTCTATGCGAAATTCACCACGTTCTGTGAAATAGTCACTTTCTTTTATATCTTTGGGATGTTCACCTTCTGCTATTCGTACCATCCATAAAAATTTATTTATATCGTCACCAGAATAACCGATAACACCACCAAATATAACTAAAACATAATCGACGTCCAGCGTTGTCATTATTTCATAGGCTTTTTCTTCGGTAGAAGACATAGCTTTTCCGACCAAAGCTATGTGACTATTATTCCAAGTATTATTGTCGACTAAAGTGGTACGATTAGCCATACCGGCAATCTGATAACCATAATCCCACCAAGACATAACTCGGGCATCGTCTGCAGTATTCTGTGACAGCCAATAGTAGGCTTCACGGAAATCGTCTAATATGCTGCGAGACCTTATATGAGAAAAAGTATGAAAATTAATTTTATATGAAAACAGAAATGTTCGGCTTTTATAAATTTTTCTTACCCATCATGATTATTGTGAAACGCTAAAACAATTGAAGGACTTGAGTAGGCATTACTAGTTACCCATGTGCAATGTACTGCAAATGTCATTAGAATCATTAAAATTGCCAATATTACGAAACTTTTCAAATTAGAACCGATTCCTGTGCCGGTTTCATGTTGCTGGGCATCATGTTTCGGTCGATGTTTTAATTTTCCAGCCTAAAAGTGAGAATTTTTCCTATCAAATTTCTATCAACGAAACAAAAATCAAATAAATTATTATAAATTTACTTTGTCATATAAAGTTTTCTTCTCGGTAGAGTTTTCATCGTTATCTTCTGTAAGCGTTGTATTTGATTTTGTATTATCCTCACGTAAATAAACATCCAATAACGTTGAAAATGCAACGCCGGCCAACATACAAACAACCGGTGTTAAGGTTAACATTAAACGCACCATTACTCCCGCAAAATACACTGCACTAATTGCATAAAGCACAACAAAGACTCGTTCGTCATTGATTTTTTTGATACAATACCAAACACCAACCGGAAACGCGCAGACCAAAATGTGCAGATCGAAGAAAAATGAGAACCAAGTAGTAGGTTGATGCTCCGATACGGAGGCAATAATTGGTATATGGATCTTGGCGTAGCCAGTGTCCCATAGAGAATAGAACCGTCCACTCCATGGAGCAATAACTCCCATCATTGTAAGGCCAACAACTGCTACAAATACCAATGCAGCTGCCAGCAGTCCACCGAAAATAAAGATTTTCTTGAACTCATTGCGAGATAATACTGTTTGCAAGTGACGTAAGAATCCAACCACTAACAGCAACACAAATACGCCAAGAGCAGCCATATGTTCACTGGTGCGTATAGGTTGGAAACCCACAAACGGTATTTGCATCGACAGTAACAATCCAAGCACGTAGAACGTAGTGTAGCTAGTCAAAAGCCTTAGGGAATAACGTCCCATTATAAGCAACACAAAAACATGCAGCGGTATCAGGTTTATGATAAAAACATATCCGCCCCAAGCTGACACCATATAAAAATATGATAATGCCGCCGCCGATGCCCAAAACACTGATCCTGTTTTCACTGAACGCACCCATAAGAAGTATGTAAATTGTAAAGCAAATATCGCTATACCCTCATTATCGTATGAACCGGCTACTGATCGCGATATATAGCCAGGCACAATAGCGATAAAACTAGCGGCGAAGAGACCAGCACCGGGCGACCATAACTCTTTGGTTAACAGATATGTTGATATTGCTGTAAGTCCGCTAAACACAGGTGCCAAAAAAACGCATATGTCACGTATATGCACAGGAATATTTAAGGCGTGCAACAAATAGTGTATACTCCCCGATGTTATCATTAGTCCTGGATAAACAGTGCCGCCAACTATTCTACCAAGAGGATACCAGGCTCTTTCATCGAACCAATTGAGGAACTTGTAGAAACCATGCTGCACCATATAAGCAGTAGCACGGTAATTAAACCATGGATCAAATTCATGAATGATTGACTCGAATCTTATGACAGCAAATAGCCGAGATGAGAAACTCGCTAACCACGCTATCGCTAATATAACAAATGTTATTAAACTGCTGTAACCGGCAGTTTTCCGGTTGAATATTTTTGCTGGTCGATTCATTACGTCCCATAAATAGGAACAATGTTGCGATTAAAATAAAATTCAAACTAAGTGTGAAAAGTAATACTTATGACTTACGACACGTAGATAGTTTAGAATGAAAAAAACACCGGCGAAGCAGTGCTGGCAACTTAAAAAATCATTGAGAGAATTCCTTGAAATTACTTGCACAGAGTCGCTTATAATAAATAAATGGTTAAAAGATCAACTTAACAACTTAAATGATAACGCCATTCAGCTATGTTAAATTTCCAACTTAAAAGAAAACAAAGGTTCAACTCTGTTAAATAGTTTATTTATTTTTTATTAATAAATGCATGTTTTCATATAAAGTTTCTTAATTTCTTCAATTTTTCAGTACACAAAAGCTCAGAAACGCCTACTTATGAAAGGCGAAAAAAAAACCATTGCCCAAGTTCATTACATATAAGTTTAAAAGTAGAAAATTAAAAATCCAGCAACAATTTCCAAATGAGTGTTATGACCATTATGACAAAAAAGAATAAATAAATAATCGGTGTAGATTTTATTGATACCGCAAAAAGTTCAAATTAATTGAGTTCACTTAATATATAATGGGTGTAGGTTTTATGTATTTGAATATTGTTATTATTATTTCTATTGTTAACACTATAGAATTATTTTTCGGGTTCTATGAAGAACTTTTTGAATGGACTAATCAATTTTAATGATTGATCTGGATGCGTGATAATAAGAGTAGAAGGGTTTAGATTTAATAAAATATTTGTGCTTTTCTTAAAAATAGTATTATTTTCTCTATTTTTCTGCTTTATATATGCTCATGGAGCGGAAAATCATTAAACGTAGTTTTTAATACTGGTAACGAATTTAAAAGGATTTTGAAAATAGAGCGTTATTACACACTACTAAAAGCATACTTGATCATATTGTGACTATTTTATGTCAAAAAATGTTGCAATTACTTTTTTTAATATATAGAATTTTTTATAATTAAACCAATACACATATGTACATACATTTTTTTCACAAGAACGGGTTAGTGTAAAAATTGGACACTTCTGCGTAACACATGAAAGCTTTGAAAGTTTTTTTCTTTTGCGATAGCGCTGATACTAAAATCGATATGTGACAATAATAACAGCTTTTCTAAGAGGATTTGATTGCTTGGCAGCATTGTAGTTTTAACTTTGCATTCTTATTGTAAAATTTTGTTTCACTCGTGTCCGCTCTCAGTCGCTTTTTTCTCTTTGAAAAAGATGTTAATTTCTTTCAAGTTCTTAAGCGAGTATAATACAGTTCAGGTTTTTTTCTATCGTTCTATTTTATTTTAATTATCTAATAATAATAACTTTATCTAATTTTCTTTTTTAAAGAAATGTAAGTTTATTAGCAATTAGAAATGAACTTTCACCTTCAAATAAGAAAAAGTGCAAAATACATAGATAGGTAAAGATTAGTTGCATTAAAGAAAAAAAAAAACGTTATCATCCGCTAACGTGCTCTTACATATGTAAACGAAATCTAAACTTATTTGTGTGAAAATGAAAATAGAAAAAATTGTATGAAATAACATAAATACATGTATATATGTATGTATATATGTATATATGTAGTTATATAGTATGAAGATTATCAATTTCAGATTACCCTTAGCAGTAAACTACAATTTGCTTTAGTTTGTTGTGTGACAATTTGATAATTTTTCCAACATAATGACATAAATAAATACACAGCTGAGCTTATGTTAATATTAAGCTTTCTATAAATATACAAAAGTTTTTATTTTCTTTCCTTCTATTCCGCATTTGGATAACAATAGAATAATTAACACATGAAAAATGCAATTGTTTTTTTTTCTTTATTACAAATTATTTTTCTTTTTTCTAGATTTTATTGATCGTTCATCATGAGTTATTGTAAGTAAAAGATTACTACCGTAACATTATTTGAAATTGCTTTTACCGTTTCAATTTTATTTGCATTTATAAGTTAATTCAATATAAGATCCGTTTTTTTTTTGTTTGTTTGTGTAATCAAAATAAAAGACCATAACAAATATTATTAAACTAGAGCTATATATAATCTCTTGCATTAAAAGTTCATTGACTTTCTCGATTACATTTTGCTTTATTAAAGATCTTGAATTGCACGTGACTTGTTATTCATTTTGTCATTCATGTAACCAAAAAAAGAAAACTTTTCATTGGCGCAAGGGTCAAATTTTTTTCAATTATTCTTATTCTATCGCGCGTTGTTAATGTCCGTCTCTATTCATGGATGACATATCAATCTAAAGATAAAAATTCTTCGAAATATTTCGTTCCTCAGTAATCTTTCATTGATTGTTGCACACATAAAAAAAGGAAAGCACGTAGCACATGTGTCTCGAAAGAAATATTATTCATATAAACAAATAAGAAAATTATATTTGCTCGTAACCGAATCTTTTATGCTCATCGCCTTTGTTTTAGAAGAGGAACTAAATTTTCATGCTCTATAACATCGGATAATATATAATACTTTGTGGGTTTCCTTGTGGGTATAAATATTGCAAACATTTTGATGGATATAAAAAACTAATAGATGGCATACTCTACATAACAAATATTAACATAATTAGTTATAAATCTATACATTAATTATATATTCCAGATGTAAATAAAGAGGAGAAATCTCCATTTCTCTCTGGGCAGAAGCCGGTTAGCCTAACGCCTTCATGGGAAGCACAAAAACTTCCTAATGATCAATTGAATTTTAAAGGTAAGAGTGTAAAATAAAAAGATCATTATAGTCTAGTGATTTGACGTGAACAAGATATTGTATGCACTAGATATTCAAATCGTCTTTAGCATTCAATTATTTACACTTTATTATACTTTTAACCCTTTGCACTCGAAGTTTTTTTTCATTCGAATTATAATCCGCGAGCGGTCACTAACAGCGAAACGCCCGAATACTAGTTTTTACGATTTGTTTTTGTTTTTGTGTTAAGAACTGCAAATTATTTACAATGTCTTCGTAGCGGAGCCCTCGAGTGCAAAGGGTTAATATATGTATTTCTGATTAGGGTCTAGTATAGCTTCGTTCTTCAATGAAAGAAATGAAAGAGAAAGACTTAAGCGACGATGATCCGGTTAAAGCTCAAGCGGGAGACAAGCAAGCTGAGAGCAATTTACATGTCCATTTTCAGTCTGTTCTGTACATAAGTCAGTACTGTGACTGAATATAAAATATAAACCGGCGCCAATTAAATCCGAAGACAATGAGTTATCCATTAAATGTTTTGAGAATGAAAATCCAAAGCCGTCATCAACATCGTCCAATGAAAGCAAATCAAAATCGTATATATTAATATAAAGGATTTAGCATGTTGATTTTATTCAGAAATTACGTAACTATGCACCTTTAAAAAAGTGAAGTGAAAATATAGTTTTACAATTTGTCCATGAACTACGGTTGTCTATTGTTTTCTCGGCGTTGGATGAGTATGTCGCAACCGTTTTCGGCAACTAAAAGATTCTGCTCGAACTGGGCTGAATATATAAAATATATAGAGAAGTATTCAAAATTCATTTAACACAAAATCGTTAATGCCGTTGATAAGAGCACAAAGTACAATAATATTAAGGTAGTGAGTATAATATGAGTGTTAATAAGCAATTAAGCTCATTAATAAATGCTGTCGCATCATAATTTTTAGGAAAAAATTTCTTTTTTTCATTTTTCTGTAAATTTTCATTGAATTATTTTTTTTTTTTTGTTTTTTCTTCTCAATAGTAACATGAGCACGAAAACGAAAAAGTTTTTTTTAGATCTCTTTGCTTAACAAGAGTTAAGAATACCTCGTCTCGTGAATTTTTCCCACGGAAAAAACATTTCTGATTAAATAAAGTAATAAATCGAAAAATACTTGAATATTGACTAATTGCTTGGTGCTAATACACGATTTTTATGATGATTGAAAACAATATCGTTTTTGTTGTCGAAACTGTTTGAATTACGTTTTTTGTGTTTTACGGGGATATAATAACGACTTCTGCTGATTAATTTCTAGGAAGCAATTAAGAGGAAAAAGATTTGCTTTTAACATATTGAAAAATGAGGAGGAGTGACCTCAAAGTGTCCTCAAATCATATGACAGGGACATCTAGGGTAATTGTCTAACGGTGATGGCCAGTATCCGGGGGACTCATTTAAGTAGTTTATAGGCTTAATTTAAGTGTCACTTAAACGAATGGAACTTTTATGTACCGTTAAGCGAGACTTTGATAAATTGAAATATCAAACAGAAGTAGAAAAAGTTTCAAGACAAAAGAACCCATACTCATATTGTACTCATTCTGTGCCTTTATCGAGTTTAATTAATCACGCACTCCAATGGTTTCTTTTGTAAATTAATTTAAAAAAAAAAAAGTTGGTCTCCTTTCACGCTTGAAATGAGTAATTATCGAAAAAGAAGCCAAGATAAGATAGAGCTTAAAGATTGTTTATCTTATTTTACAAGAAAGATCATTCACTTACAACAAATGCTTCCAAGTTATTTACTTTGCAAGCAAACTAGTTTGCTACTATCAAGAAATAAAACCAGTAAACGAAATACAATATCTTCAGAAGAAACGGTCACAGGTCATTAATTTTTTGAATTTCAATAAAAGTAAATTGGATGTGAAGATAGGTCAATCAAGAAATTCTCTTATACATTCGATCAGCTCTCTACTCGATTAAAGAATAAGATTAAAAGGGAAGAAAAAAATCTTGTACAAATTGTGTATCCATTTTAACGTTCGCCCATACAGTGCTACGGAAAAAAAGAGAGGGAAAAAACATGAAAATTCTCGTCCTGTTGTTGTTTTCCATAAATGACACAATTCTTTCAAATTTGATCTCCAATTCTGAAATTTTCAGTTTTTTCTATTTTCGCATTATAAGCGAGCCATTCTGAAATGAAAATTTCATTTTCAAAATTGTGCAAGCTTTACTATCTTGATTTTAAACCTTACTCTGGTTCAGAATAGCGGACATATGGACGTACTTATGTGAATAACAAACGAAATTATTTACTCAATATAACTTTAATGGAAAATCCATTTGCAATAAGGGAAGCCTTAGATAAAATATCACAATTTTTTTATAGAAAAATGAAATGAATTAATTATCAGTTGACCAAAAAAGTCATTACCGATTCCTTTCAATGTTCGACTTGACGAAAATGTGCTACGCTTTAAAAAAAGGAAAAAATTTGTTCTAATTAACGCTAAGATTAATTTTGAAAATAGCTTAACTAAATTGGTAAACTGAAGTGAAAAAGAGTAAATGGATGTAACTTGACTTGACTTGGGTTAAATGAACGGTAAGTGAGAGGAAGCATTTAATTGAATGAATTAATGTAAAAAAATTGTAAGTGACTTAAGATCATTTTATATAAGAATAATTTTGAAAATTTTAATATTTTATTGTGCTTAAGCTGTAAATGCAGCAGAGTTTCAATGAAGTCGATAGCCTTAGATAACTGGTGCTTCATTGTTTGAAGTTATTTCTGTTAGCTAAGCTAATAATAATAATAATAAGCAATTTTCTTATAAATCGTCCATAAGATGATAATTAATCTTTTAGGAATCTCCGACTTAAAGATTCGATTCGTAAAAGCCGAAATATTTGTTCGCTTTTTAAAAATGCATTTCCAAGCTCTTTTTTTTCTACCCGCCGCAAGGAAATGTCCCCTGCATTGGTGCGAGCAGGAAGAAGGATGGAAAGATGGAGCAGTGCTTCGCACGTTTGACTTGGGAGCAGAAATATCAAGCACGTTGGGAAAGACCATTGTCGGCAGATTGTTACAGAGGTGGGCAGTGTGATTGAAGAACGACCAAACGTGGTAATGTGTCGTGCGATACGCCGGCAATTCCAAGACGAGTAGGTGAGAACGCTGAAATATCCTTGTGCTTCTGATAAAGAACATAGCTCTCTCATCTCTGTAGAGCACTTGCCCTGGATGTGCTTATAAATAAATCATCCTCTCAAATCTTCTCGGTCCAAAGAAAATTTTTTGGACTTTTTTACCGAGTTTTGTCATGAATGCTCACTCCTTCATCCAATATTCCGGTCGAAGTTTCGCCTAGATTCGCTGAGCATTTGATACTAGTTAAGTACACGTATAACTTACTAAGCTTCCATGTAGGCATTGTAAATGGCAAAAACATATTCTGTTATATTCGAATTATCCATAGATATAGGCAAATGTTTAGCATTGTATTTGTTGTCGTAAGTAACGAGCGACTAATATAGTTTTTTTTTTGTTTTTGCAATTGAATATTGTCTCAATGTATGTTGAGCTGCAGGCTTGCGCTAGAACTACAACAACTAGACTACTACAACGTGCCAGAATGTCAAATGTCGGGGAATGTTTATTGCAGACATTACGCAGAGAGACTTACCTTCCTATATCGGTTTAGAATTTCATCAACCAATCAAGAATACGTACATCCCTCTCAGCGTATCATAGCTTATCATCACATAACAAATATAGACTAATTATTTAGCGGCAGGTGAAAAACTTTTAGCATTTATTAAGAAAAACACAACCGTGTGATCGAGAGTGAATATTTAAACGGAATCAAGCAAGTCCAGCAGTACTTTATAACTTTCAAGCATATAAGCTTATGTTATGGGTTGAGGGCAAAAGGGGTAGATAGATGGATATGCTTATGGTGTTCGCTTGCCGGTCAGAATTCAGATTGGAGAAAGCAACTTTATAATATTTCCATGTACAGTTCCTTTTTTTCCCAACACTGCATTCTTTTCGACACACACTTGCAGACGTGCAAAAATGTTGCAAGGCAACATTTTACCTCTGTTTTTTTTTGCAGCAGCATTTTCTCTGCATTCCAAATACATATTTATATTTGCTTGCCCTTCTTATCAAGCATTGTTGTATCTATTTTTGGCATTTGTTGTTTGATCAATGAGGAAATTTTTTTTGTTTATTTACAGGACTAACGATGGCAAAAGCTCAAATGTCTTTGACGCCGCCAAAAGATAAATTTAAATTAGTATTTTTAATTTTTCTACTGCACGGTCTCGGTACGCTAATGCCCTGGAATATGTTTATCACCGCGAAAAGCGTAAGTTTTTACCGAAAGTGAGACAAATTTAATTGAATTGAACATTTCTCAGACATAAATTCGAATTGCATGTGTGTATTGTTCTATAGTATTTTGTAGATTTTAAATTGGCATCTACAAATGATACGTCTTCCTCAATATCGTACGATGGATATTTTCTTCAGTACTTGGGTTTCGCATCGCAGATACCTAATTTAATATTTAATTGGTTAAATATTTTCGTGCAATTGGGGTAAGTATTTAACAGCATGCATATTTATATATATATATACATATATATGTAAATATATGCATACGTACATCTAATATATAACTTTGGATATATATAGGTTTAATTTTATTTCTTTTTAGAGGCGATCTAACAAAGCGAATAGTGTATAGCATATTATTGGAATTAATTATTTTTACAATTACGATTATATTGGCTATATTGGATTCATCGGTTTGGCCGGACGTATTCTTTTGGATAACCATGTTAAGTGTAATCTTGTTAAATAGTAAGTGCGAAAAATTAAAAATATTCTTATTAATTATTTTCAATAATAATAAATTAATTTTAGTGGCTAATGGCATTTATCAAAATACGATTTATGGCATGGCAGCCACTCTACCCGTTGAGTACACTGGTGCCGTTGTTCTCGGTGCTAATATTAGTGGCCTTTTTGCGACAATCGTCTCCATATGCAGCTCATTCGTTTTCTCTTCATACAGAACTTCCGCTATTTATTACTTCATCACTGCCATGTTAGTGCTACTAATGTGCTTTGATACCTACTTCGCGTTACCTTTAAATGTAAGTTCTTCGCTTGACAAACGAAATTAAAAATTTTATTCTTTTGTTTCTGCTTTTAGAAATTTTATAGATATCATGAAACGATAAGACGTAAAGAGAATGTGCGGACAGATCAGCGTGTTCCGGTTAAAATTCCATATGGTAGTGTCTTCTTCCAAGCATTTCCTCAACTTTTTAATATATTTTTTGTATTTTTTGTTACACTCGCTGTATTTCCGGCGGTACATTCTGGTAAGCCTTTTTGAAACATATGTATAAAACATTTCTACTCTCTCTTTTGCCAACTCTATTAAGTTTTCAAAGGCAGCAAAAGAAAAATTTAATTTACAAAGCTTTACAAATATTCTACGATCACTAAGAACTACAGCTTTAAGTCGTGAGATTAGATTTAAATCCCCATGGTAACTGATAATACTGCAAATATTAAAGACAGATAGTGGAAATTTGAGGCCTCTTGATACCCACCCCCCACCATCAAAGGAAGGGGGTATACTCATTTTGTTTTTTGCTTCCCAAAAGGAAGCATAAGTGTATATACATGTTGGTCATCGTGAAATTCTGAGTTCACTAAGACATGTCCGTCCCTATGTCTAGCGCATGTTGTTGGCACTCTTCTGGTCGCAAAAGTGAAAATATCGACTTTAAATTTAGTAGAAACATTGGAAGTTTTTGCGCGCAGGTTGGTATTGAAAATAGACCAAATTGGTCAGAGCAGAAGCCTGCAGTGGACCGTAAACTGCACGCAACTTAATTTATTTTAACAAGCTACTCGGAAATTATAAAAGTTAGAAGATTGAAATTTTCGACATTTACTTTACAAAACACCCTACTCTTTACGTCCACAAATGGAAACAGTCGGCCATGTCCACGCAAAGTTACAAGTAATTAAATTTTAATTTCTCCACTTTTTTGAGATTTTATGCATATTTATGGTAAGGCAAACAAGACAGAATGCTTAAAACTATTTTGTTCGCTCCTCAAATGGAGATGTATTATCTGCCTGCGTTTATTTTAAAATAAATATGGTAGACCCCGCGATTCACTTTTTCTTAATAATACCAGCGATATAGGTATCAAATAAAAGGACGTGGAGAGTGGAATGCGAAAATCCAAGCGTGTTAGCTCCAAATTGCATATCACGGACGTCACGAAGTAGTGAACTAATTTTTTCGTTACAATACCGTTGACATGGGCATCACGTAAAAGGACTTGGAGAATAGAATGCGTGAGGCCAAGTGTGTTAATTCTAAATTAATTCTGGTAGACGTCAGCACTTAGTGGATAAAGTGTATTATTTATAATTTGATTATGGTGGACGTTTAATACATAAAGTGAAGCGCCCTCTTGGACATTAAAATGTTAAGAGGACCAAGTATTTATATAGTGGATACGCGAGCTTTGGCCCCTGGCGTATATAACTTTGTTACTTATTAAAACTTATGTCGAAACGGATCAAAGAAAAATTTTATTCAATAATTCCTCCTATTACTTAAAAATAACTGATGTGTTGCTCATTCCATGATTGAAAAGTTCGCTCGAAACAATAGACTTCTAATTATCGCCGTTCACATTTTCAGTGATAAAAAGATTCCTTACTCAAGTGAATCGACGTGAAATCACTTTGCAAATTTCCAATGAAGGGTACAGGGGAAAGGATACAAGATACAAAAGATACATTCTCTCTCGTCAATGACGAATTTAACAATTTACGGAAACTAGTGGAAAATAATATTTCCCATGATTTTTTTGTGTTTAATTTTTTATTTATTTAATTTTTTTTTTCTTTATAGATATTAGACCGAACCACAATGATTTTTTTATACCCGATCAACTTTTTACATCAATAACATGTTTCTTGACATTTAATTTATTTGCTATGCTCGGAAGCTTAGCTACGTCGTGGGTACAATGGCCTAAGCCAAAATATTTATGGATTCCTGTTTCAATGCGTGGTGCATTTTTGCCATTATTCTTGTTCTGCAACTATTTACCAAAAGGTGTGCAGAGAACACTGCCAATTTTAATAACAAACGAATGGATCTATTGGATTATTGCGGTAGTCATGTCGTTCAGTTCCGGCTATTTAAGGTAATTAAAATGCCTAGGACTTTTCAAAAATATTGCTTGAAAATGTAAAGAAATTGTAAGGAAAGACGAAGGCTTAAAGGAAGGTCTGAGAACTGTTATCGAACAGTTTCAAATATTATTTCTCCCCTCCCCCCTCTCTCGTTCTTTCCCACTTTCCCCCTCACATTATTTTGCAAAATTTGCGGACTTTAATGCCAGAATATTTCCAAATTTTTTTTATATATATATATTATTAGTATAAAAAATTAAATATTTCTGATATATGTAAATTATTTCGGTTTATATTTCAGTTCGCTTGGCATGATGTACGCTCCAAAAACGGTATCTCCGAAATACCAAACAACAGCGGGAATGTTTGCAGCCGCTATGTTAATAACTGGAATATTTTCGGGGATTCTTTTTTCCTTTCTATTTCCATACTTTGTAATTTTTTAAATTAAAATCATTTCTCAAAAATGTTCGAATCGGGAAAATAATAAATTTTTATGTTTTAATACAATTATTAATCAGGACTATTCCGCAGAGGTGGAAATAACAACAACAACAACAACAACAAAATCATAATTGTTAAATTTTATTTAGGATCACCTACTATTTTTCGTTGTTTAGCCTAATAATAATCCATGTTAAAAAGAAGAAATAGAACGAAAGACTAAATTCATGTAACATCAATACCTCTCAAATTAAAATAATGACCATCACCAGAAGCGAATGCACCAAAATAAGCCTATTTCTAATCTATTTTGTATTTATTAAATATTTTATATAAACATTTTTCTATTTATTTGTTCTACAAAAAGTGCGTAACTTTTAAGCATTAAGTGTATCTTTGTTATAAATTTTTATTCACAAAAAAACACTATAATAAATATATTTTTTCAAAATCACGTTTTTGTCTTGATACTCGTATCATAATCATACCTAACGTTATTTGTGAATGACTTCAATTGGAAAACAATTTCAGTGAAGTGAAGAGAGGAGAAGACACTATGGTTTTCCTTTGAACATATTGGAGATGTAAAAATGTTTTTTTGACTGAAGAGTTGAAATAATTTACTAAGAGGAGAATTGAGAACTGAATTAGAACTGAGAGAGTATCAGCCCCATTTAAAGTTTTTTTTTTTTAATATTACCAGTAACTCCGTGGATGTCCCGAGTGACCCCTTATTAGTGTAACACGGTGACGGCTAGGAAGAAGAAAGGAAAGAAAACATAATAGGAAAGGGGTGGCCGCAGCCTAGTGGGTATATCACCAATTGGTAAGAGTATGTGAAGGCATGCATGGCCGATTAGAGGTGATCGCCTCTATACTCCCAACACAATCAGAAAATAGGGAGAAAAGAAAAAAAGAGTGCCTACAGTGTGTGGTTACTTCTTAAGAATTATGACTTTACCGACTGAGCGCTCACTATAGCCACGACGAAAAGAACACTCGAGAAAAACTCTCTTGCTTCTCTTACCTGCTCACCTGGACAGCAGGAGTTTGCTTTGACTCAAATTTATCTGCAGATGCAATGTAGTTCCATTTTGTTTGTCTAGGGGTATTGCCTTGATCTTACATAAGATCGGCTTTTGTAGTATGGTTTTGGATTTTTTTATTATTACAAAAGGTTGTCCTACGCAGACGGCGATCTTACAAAAATTGCATTATATTTAGTTGATAACATCGAATTGAGTAATACGGCACGTAACGGGGTGGGTTCTAATATCGTAGGAGCAGTAGAGGCAGCGCATTTTGATGTAGTAGATAACCGCCGTGAACTCCAATACTGTAGATAATACTAGGAAACTGTGGATTCTAACATGATCGAATGCGGTAGATAACTACGGATTCAAATTTGATAGGTAACGGTAGGCAAAGGTGGACTCTAATCTGGCGTGTTTTCATACCTAACATTGGATTCCAATTTGTAGTTCAAGATGGATTCTATCAAGGTTGGTAACGGTAAGCAAACGACGGTTCCTGACATCATACGTAGCGGCGGACTCTAACACGGATGCAATCTAGCATGGTAGATAAGGATGGATTCTAACATGAATGCTAACACTGGATTCTAATACGATAGGTACTACGCGGATTTTATTTAGCATTCTTTTTAACACACGTATATGCAGTCTCTTTTCCTTTCCATTTTTTGTTGACATTCTAAGACATTCGCTGCCCTTCTTCTTCGGGATGCCAGGTTTTTTATTTTCAATTATCATCTTTATCATTGGTTTCGAAAAACTTTTTAAATTTACTTCAAGCGGAAGAAAAAAGTTCCACTCTCCGGGCAAACAACTCGTTAAAATTCAAATGATTTTGTCGCCACCGAAAGACAAATTTAAATTAGTGTTTTTAGTATTTGTACTCCACGGTATTGGTGTCTTAATGCCATGGAATATGTTCATTACCGCAAAAAGTGTAATGTTAATTAAGGCGAGGCGAAAATAAGTACAATTTCATTTTAAAAATAAATTTCTCTAGTATTTTGTAGATTTCAAATTGGCTACGAATGATACATCGCCAACATTTTATGCTGGATATTTTCTACAGTATATGGGTCTTGCATCACAAATACCAAGTATTATATTTAATTGGATAAATATTTTTCTGCGTATAGGGTAAATGTGATTGAATATATATATATACATATACATATTGTGCATGTGTGTGTGTAGACATATGTATGAAAAAATTGTTCTCCTAGAGGTGATATTACAAAACGGATCGTCTACACAATATCAATGATTTTAATTATTTTTATTTTCACTGTTATCCTGGCTATGGTGGACTCATCATCTTGGCCTGACGTATTCTTTTGGATAACCATGATAACTATAGTAATTTTGCATAGTAAGCAAATTTATACATGTATATATATAAACATTATTGATAAATAAAATTATTTAAGGCGCTAATGGTGTCTTTCAAAATACTGTTTATGGGATGGCAGCTATTCTACCGCTACAATATACGGGTGCCATAGTTCTTGGATCTAATCTTAGTGGGCTTTTGGCATCGATTGCCTCTATATGCAGCTCATATATTTCTCCTCGGATAGAACTGCGGCTATTTATTACTTTCTCACCGCAATTTTAATATGTTTTATATGCGTTGATACCTATTTTGTTTTACCTTTAAACGTAAGTACTCTACTTTTCGACATATTCGAAGGGAATTAGGAATTTTGCCGCGCCTTTTTTTTTAGAAATTTTATCGATACCACGAAATAATTAGACGCAAAGAAGACTTACGTAAGGTTGAAGAAATTGGAACTCATATACCCTACTTCACTATATTCCTAACTGCGCTGCCTCAACTCTGCAATGTATTTTTTACGCTTTTCGTTACACTCGCTGTATTCCCGGCAGTACATTCTGGTATGTGAATTTAAAACAATGCTCTATAACTTCAAAAAATTGTTTTTAATGCCAGTAATGTTCAAATAAGCTCGAGAGTATTCCTCAGTTGATTTCGCTAATTAATGAAGTTGCAGAAATGTGACCAAGAAAATAAAAAAAAACAATCAATCTTTTCTTTATTGGGCACACTGATTTTGTTTTCTTCCATAATATATGTGACACCCAAAAGCAAAGCAACGTTCAGAGACCTTATAAAGGTTATATATTCTTAATTAGCGCGAAATTGCGAGTTGATTTGATTGATCTGTCCGTACGTGTGTCTGCATTTTGGCACTTTCCTCGTGGCAAAAGTTAAAATATCGACTTTAGATTTGATAGAAATATTGGAAGTTTTCGCACGCTGTTTGGTACGGAAAGTGGGCCAAATTGATCAGAATAGGAGAGCCTGCAGTATAGAGCCAGCGTATAACTCCGTTTATCTTAACAAAAATTTGTGGGTTTTTGCTCGTTACTCATAAATTATAAATTTAGAAGGCTGGAACTTCCCGCATTTGCTTTTTGAGACACTTTACTCCCTAGGCCCGAAAATGGAACCAAGCGGCCGTGTCCACACAAAGTTATGAATAATTAAATTTAATTTTTGAAGTTCAATGCTTATTTATCACAAGGCAACCAAGGCAGAAACTATTTTGTAAACTTTTCAAATGAAGATATAATATTTGCGCAAAAATTTGTTAATTTTAAAATGATTACCGTAGACACCGCGATTACTTCTTTCTTAATAATACCAGCGATATGGGTATCAAATAAATGAACTTGGAGAGTAGAGTGTTGGGTACGCGAGATTTGGCTCACGCCGAATATAACTTTCTGACTTGTTTATTTTTTACTTTTAATCATATTTGTATATTTTCAGATATCAAACCCTACAACAAGGATTTTTTCATAGAAGGGCATTATTTTATTTCGATAACTTGTTTTCTGACATTTAATTTATTTGCAATGCTCGGTAGTTTGACTACGACATTTGTGCGTTGGCCTAAGCCAAAATATCTATGGATACTTGTTCTAATGCGCATTATATTTGTCCCATTATTTTTGGTCTGCAATTATTTACCAAAAGGTGTAAAAAGGAAGCTACCCATTTTAATAACAAACGAATGGATTTATTGGATTATTGCTGTTATTATGTCGTATAGTTCCGGTTATTTACAGTAAGTCAGATGACTTTGAAGAGATAAGATTTTAGAGTACCGACAACTGGTACTAATGACCGAAAAAGAAATGAAGAAGAAGAGGAATTTTGCTTAAAAGCATCTAATAATCGTTCGTTCCTTCTGTAGCAACGTTTCTTAAACCCTTTTCTTCCTATCACCCTTTCTGATAACCACCTTACCAGAGCTGATCATAGAAAATCAAAAAAAAGGAAACAAATTCGAACTTTCGCAGAAACATTTTTGAGTATAAAACAGTTAACATCCGCTTGGGTGGCCGATTTTAACTAACAAATCAATGGTCGTGGCTTCTAATCTCACACAATTGCGGTTGAGTTTGTAATAAGACCGATAGATATTAAAGCGTTACGAATTACGAAACTGATTTCTTCGGCTAAATTAATAACAACAAATAAGAACATTTTAGTCGGGCAAAACCGGCCATTAAATACCGTACACCACATTGTCTAACGCAATTCTTATTTTTACTTTAAAACACAAATTATATCTTGTTTCTATATAAGGGCAATTTTTTCGAATGCGTATTTATGGGGAAGCGAGCCGAAAACGCAACCTAACGTAGACAAGTTTAATCCTTACATAGGTCAGGACTCAAAAATAGGCTTAGATGGTCCAAATGTTATAGAGTTCATTTTTGTATGAAATTACTATAACAATGTGTGGAAAATTATATCTTTTTGTCGTATGAACTCCAGTTTTTGTTAAATGAGGGGGTTGAAAAATTGCCCCAGCCGATCCAAAGTTTCCATACCAATTTAGAATACAAAAATACTATTACTTAGCCGCTTTTGCTGAGAAATTTTGAAAATTACAATTTTTTTCCATATAACAACTTTTCAGAATTGGGGGTTTTATGAAAAATGGACCTGTCGAAGCCATTTTTAATAGCATTCGCCGTAGGGCAAGAAGACATCGGCGTAACAAATTCCATCAAAATATCTCTAAAATTTCCGATCTGTAGCTTGAACACAAATCTACATA